GTGTAATTGGTATATTAGAAAATCCATTACTTCAATCAAGATTGAAAAAGCATATATTTGGGCATGAACATAGAATTGCATTAATCAAAGCATCTAAAATTTTAAACCTTCCAATATAAGATACACCATCTTTGAGCAATAGAGAAGTTTTATCTTTTGCAACATAACTCTTTTAATCACCTAGTAAGAACACGAGGCATCTTTAGGGCATGCCGGCTCTGCTTATAATCTTTGTTGAAAAACTCAATACATTTCCATAAAATTGGTGCACCACAGTAATACCAAAGTCGATTAACAAACAAAGCGGAATAGAGATATCGATCAATTTCCAAAAAATGTAAGATCTTTTTAATAACTTGGGTATATTAAAAATATTAAGCTGAGCATTGCTAAATCTTTATATTTTTAATCGAAAAAGATAACTTAATTCAGATATTTAATTTAGTTATATATATTACCTATTTTCCGGATATTCTTAATTCCACTTAACTTATCTACTAACTCATCTAATGGGATTTCTAATCCATATCTTCTAACTTCTAACTGTCCATCGGGTGACAATCTACGAAGAAAATATTCCCTGAAATATGCTTCATTATCGTTCACATCCGATGCAACTGTATAATGTTTCACCATCTTGAAATATTCTTTTACTGGTATGCTTATCTGTCTTGGTGGAGAGCAACCTTGCGATATATCCAATAATATATCAGTTTTATCAAGCAATGTAAGAATATTATTGGGAAAATTAATTTCTGATATATTTGCTTGAATCCACGGATTTCCTAATAACAGTACATATGCAAATTCAGGTTTATTAGGAACTAAAATATCATTAACTTCTACCTGCTTTCATTTATTGTCTTTGGATTGGAAAGAAAAATTTATTTTGTGGACCATTACTATTACTGATATACTATCTTCTATAATTAAATTATTTGACGATTTTTCAGATAGGAAAGGGATTAATAGTTTTGTTTCTTCTTTATTAGAAGTATCAATCTCTAAGCCTAACTTATCTACTAAACCCCTGCCCATAATATTACAATTAGTAACGGTATCTAATATAGTCTTAACTGGTACTTTGTTAATTTGCAAGATAAAATTCTCATAGTAATGCTTTATTATAATAATATACTGCATTTAATATTGTACTTTTATGGCTTATTAATAAATAATATTATGACATCGACATCAACCAAAACTACTATTGGTTTGGGTGCTAACCTCTCAACTATAACAGAAGAATTTGCTAAACTTTTGGAATGTAAATTAATGATGATAATTCCAAATCTCAATCAGAAATAGGCTCACATCAAAATAATTATAGGGTAGTATCCAGTATTGTTAAGCAAGAGTCGAGTAAAAAAATTCAGATTTCTTTTCGCCAATAGCTAAAAATAGTGAAATCAGAAGTTAAACAAGATATTATAAACACGATAACAAACCCAGATATTTCTCGAAAAAATCGAAGACTGTGTAGGACTAAAAAGAAAAGGATAATTTTTAGTGATACAGCATCTTCATCTGAGTCCGAGTCCGACTCTGGATCATCTAATGATGAGCTTAATGAACATGTAGTGATAACAAAGAAGCGGAATTATTTCTTATCATAGATTTTGAATGGTTTTGCTTCTTCGGGCTTCTGTCCCCACCTCCTATAGTTTATTAAAACGTAATTTTGAACTGAAAAAGCGTGGCTGTTGGGTTGTGGCGTAAACAATCCCCAGCTATTCTCATAAAATGTGCTGGACTTTTAGCATGTATTACAGCACCATAAACTGCTCCTAATTTACGTAAGTGTTTAAGAATTAAACCATATTCTTTTAAGAATCTATTGAACCA